ACCCTAAACTAAAGCAAAAAATACGCCACACCACGTGATGGTCACGTTACTGCAAAAGTGTCTAGACCCCTGGAGGGGCCATTATCCATTTTCCTATTAAATTTAACAGATATCCGATTTTTCATAATATAAAATTAAATTGGTGGATATCCGGATCGTATCTCTACATCAAATCTTTTTCAATATGTATAACATTTATTAGAATATGTTCTATATCTGATATATCACTTTTTTTTTTAGCTAGTTATAATAAACCATTGAATTTTTAGCTCCGAATAAATAAAAAATGCTTGTTTTCCTAGTATTGATGTTATTTAATAAGCTAAAAATGATCAGTTAATAATGCACTTATCCATTAGTTCCAAAAAATTTAACACCCATATCTTCAGTACTTGATCCCTGAAATAACTGTGCTAAACCACGCTTGACTAATATATCCAATGATTTTAATAAAATTGTTTGATCCAATCCATGAAAATCTTTTTATTCAAAAATTATATTAGAAATTAAATAAAGAAAACAAAACATGATTAATGAAATACACACCTAATCCTTCAGTAACATCACCATGTGCAATTTCATATACCGTCAATATAGAATTAGTCATTCCACTATTAAATACCTGTTTTTAAGAACAATAAATTTTGTTTAAAAAGAAGATTTAAAATAAAATTTGAAAATAAAAATAAAACAAACCCAATTATTAATTAATGTTGCCCATTCTTCAGGTTTTCTCCAATAAATAAGTGCTACATTTTTTTTTGATTGTGAGTCCCATTCTGCTGTTCCTATACCAGAAAAATTCTTATAATTCATTTAAAAAAATAAGATGATAAACAAGAATACAAAGATATGATATATTGATATAAACCTTGTTTGACCATTGCGTCAATAATGCATTGTAAAGTTCCAAGTTTCAACCTTTCTAAGATGGAATAATGGAATGAATATAAAAAGGTAACAATAATTGGGAATTTAATCACACATACTATTGATTCCTTTATTATTGAACAATTCGCCATTCAATGATTCTGATAACTCAAGACGATATAATTTATGATGCATAAAATAAGCTAGAATTATTTCAGACCAAAGTGTTATTTGGGTTTGTCGAGTTGTCGGTTGTGTTTGAAGCCTAAAAGGAATGCAGTCATGTGAAGGTTATATTAAGGTTATATGAGGGTTATATGAAGGTTATATGAAGGTTAGTAAAATGCATTATTGAGAGAGAAATAATTGAGGATAAATTTTATGTATTTCATCGTTCATAGTTCTGCTAGTTAATATAATTTATTATTTTATTTTATGACTTACGTATAAAATGGCGGAAAGTTATGTATTGAGGGAAAATTAAATAAATCTGTCATGGCAACAAAAATTCAAAATTCTAAAAAACTCATTAAAGCCGTCAGCTTATATATAAAAACTGTAGTTACACGAATCTATTCAAATTGGCATAATAGTAAGCATATTCTGCTCAGTTTCACGATCATACGTATAAATAAATATATATAATTATATATCAGATATATAAATAATTAAATTAATAATATATACTTTGATACATTATTTATAACAAGTATAGAATTTCAAGCATTTGTCTAATCATTATGTGGTCTACTCATACTACCAGCTTCAGGAAAATATACATTTTTAAAAGTAGTATTGCATTTTTTACAGACAGTTTTCTTTCTTGAATAACCAAATAATCTTGGTAAACCTAAACAAAAAGCCCAAAATAAAGATCCCCACGTACTTTTTCGTAAAAATTTTTTTTTTAAAAAATAAAAATATATACGATATATTCAGTATTCACTTTTTATAATTTTATGAATTTAAGAAACTCAAGCTACTAAACACTTACTAATGAGACCTTAGTTCATGCGTGCCACCTTTTGGGCATGGTCCTAATTGTTGTGCTAGACGTTGTTGTTCAAGTAATGCTGGATCTTTAAAAGTTTTTATTAAACAAAAAGTGTAAAATATATATATATATATATTAACTAAAGGAACGGTTCATTTAACTATGTTTCTTACCTTCGTAAGGTTTATATTCTCGTATATCACCACCAGGGTATGAAGACATTCTGAAGAATTTTACAGAAAGTTTGGTTTAATAAAGTCTGCTCACTTTTTGTTTTTTACATACTATATAAAATTTATATTTGTCATATCGTGTGATTCAAATTAGTTCGTGTAACAAAATTTGCTGACTTATTTGAAATTATATTGTGTAAAACTTTCCCGCCAAATCTTCGCCATGTACTTTTATCACTTAAAGTTTGAACTTTACATTCCAGCGAGGAATAATTCACAAAATAATTATTCAAAAAAATTTATTAACAAAGATTCACCTGATTTGTTTTACGTCCCAAAGGATATTTTTGCTCCTTTACCTACTCATTCTCAACTAAACAACGAACCGCAGTCGAGCTTACAATCAAATTCTAAAGCTAAAGGACTAATCAAATCTAAATCTAGATCTTTAGATCTTTCAAAGCCTGCTTCAAGCCAAGTGCCCTCAATCCCCCCAACTCCGATCTCCAAAGATAATAGTTCTTTAAGTATATCTAAATCTCCTTCAAGTTGGACATTTGTTGGGAGACGAAAGTCAATTGCGTCTACCTCTACGGTACCTTCAACAATAATAACTACTAAACCAGATTTTGATAAAACTCACGATTTTCGATTTGGCAAGATTGAAGTCGAGTGGTTTGATAATTCTGAAATAATTGACATTGAAAATATGAGTGAAAACATAGGTGAACCCCAAAAAATCAAATCAAGTAATGACAAAGCAGTGATAATACCCGCTGGTGAATTCGTTCCGCTCAAATCTGGCAAGATGAATCTTAGTTATGGTGTGCTACATTTATATCGTGATCCAAGTGAAACTCCTTCATCAAAAAATGATGGTTTCATTCTGGTTGAAAAGAACAATAAGAATAGCTCTGGTAAACAAATTAGTTCTGAATCAAATCAAAGTTCTGTTGAGAAACAAGAGGACTTCCCTGGTATACTGAATAATGAAGAAACAATATTGGCCGTATTGGCTGTGCCTTCTTTTATGAGTGCTTCAGATTTTCTGGCTTTTGTTGCACCTGTGCAAAGATTTGTAAGCCACTTTAGATTTATCAGGTATATTACAAGTATTCTTCTTATGTAATGTCTTTATTCAATATCTTAGATTATTTTTTAATTATTATGCTTAGAGATTCGGCACCCAACAAGTTTATGGTCTTGATGAAGTTTAGGCATGCACGAGCTGCATGGGATTTTTATAGGCAATTTAACGGTCGTCCTTTTAGTTCCATGGAGGTTCATATATATATTTTTTTTCACTCTTAGATATTTCTCTTAGATATTTCTCTTAAAATATTTATTTCAATTATTTATTATTTTTCAACTGTTTTATAATTTATTCAGCCTGAAATATGTCATGTGGTCTATATCAAATCTATCGAATTCAAGTCTACTTCTATTCCTCCCAACGCATTCCCTTTTTTGTATGATCCTTTTATACCCTCTACACAAAACGATACAGCAGTACATAATGACCAAACTCAACAAACCTCCGAATCATCTGTTTTATATGAACTTCCAACATGTCCGGTGTGTCTTGAAAGAATGGATGCATCCGTAACTGGATTGCTCACAATTCTATGTCAACACACGTTTCATTGTAATTGTTTAAGTAAATGGGGTGATAGTAGGTATGTATTACCATTTTTTTTTTTTTTAAATAATAAATTTGTTATTTTCTAGTAATTTAATAATATTATATTTGTAGTTGTCCCGTGTGTCGTTATAGTCAGAAAAGTAACGTTATCGATCCTTCACTAGGACAAAATGAATGTGGGGTTTGTGGTGTCACTGAAACTTTATGGATATGTCTTATATGTGGCAATATTGGTTGCGGTCGATATCAAGAAGCACATGCGTACTGCCATTATAAAGAAACTTCACATTTATATGCCTTAGAATTAGAAACTCAAAGAGTTTGGGATTATGCTGGTGACGGGTAAATTAAATCATTTTCATTATGTGAATATCAAATTAAATAATTATTAAAATTTTTTGCTTATTTCATAACAGATATGTTCATCGTCTAATACAAAACAAATCGGATGGTAAACTAGTAGAGTTACCTAGTCCTGATGGTCCGCCTCAAATGCAGCAATCACGTGCGGAAATTGATCAGGTGAGTATGATTATAACACTATTTGATCGATAACTGTTATACTAATTATGACTAATGTAAATCCCCAATTAGGATAAACTGGATGCCATTGGACAAGAGTATAGTTACCTTTTATCAACCCAGCTTTCTTCTCAACGAGTTTACTACGAAGAAAAACTTGAGTCGGTCACCCTTCAATTATCAAAATTAACAAATCAAATTCAAAAATTGGAGGATGAAGTTTCAACCTTGAATCAAGATAAAGATATATATAAAAAAGAAAATGAGTTACTTGAAAAAGAAAAGATACCATCTTTGATAAAAGAGAAGAAAGCTATTGAGAAGAAAATGGAAAAATTTACTGAAAAATCAAATAAACTTGAAAAAGAATTAAATGGTGAAAAGGAGGTAACATATTTCATTATTTAATATATACTATATTATTTTTTTTATTGAGAAAATATTTTATTAATCAAATCTATATATTAGTTGACAAAATCTTTACTAATGAAACAAGAATACTTGCAATCTCAATTGGAAAGTAAAGATACAAAAATTAAAGATCTCGAAGAACAAGTACGAGATTTGATGTTTTTCTTCTCGTCACAGGAAAAGTTAAAAGAAAATCCTGAATTGGCAGGTGGAAATATTGTTGTATCAGAAAGTAGTAATAGTGGTGGAAATGCGAGAAAGAAAAAAGGCAAAAGGTGAATTTATTATCATTATTTGATGATTAAATAATCTGTATTATAGTACATTGATATAGTCATTAAGCTAGCTGCTAGTGTAAGAACGGATTTTATGTTGTGAACATAATAAAAGTAAAATCCTTCTTTATAAAAACTTTTTTGGTACCAACTAGATACAAAATGAAACTCAAATGTAATATAACTACGGTTTTTTTTTTTCAAAAAAAGTCGTCTATAAACTCAGCAATGTATTAAGATTGAATTAAGTTTCTGTCAGAAAAAAAAAAAAAACTAATCTCTTTGTCCAGAATTAGAAGCCTTTTTTGCTTTTTTAATTGATGCTTTATCTGTTTGAGGTTGTTGTGAATCAACAAGATTACCAAAAAGACCAGAAGTCTTAAATGGTCTTTTCAAATCACCTTCAGCTGGTTTACCAAGTAAATGAATCTGAACAAGTGGATTCTCATACGTAATTTTTAGTGGTAAAATAGATTGAATGAATAAAGGTTGTGTAAATTCAAACCAAAGATGTAAAACCATCATAAAAGCAACTCCGATAACGGTTTGCTTAAGAAGTTCTTGAAGCTTTCCAAGATCGTAATCACGATTAGTCGTTTCCACATGTTTTGAAGGTTCATCTGTTAAACGTTTTGCTGGTTCGACATATTGAAGAGGTGTAATATCTATAAATTATATAAATTAAATATGAAAGACAATTTAAAAACCGGGTTATAAAATCCAGAATAATATGAATGAAAAAGTTCAATACCATTTTTTTTCTTTATTTTTGTTGCAAGATAATAACAAATTGAAAGAATTAAAGTTTGAACACCTATATATCCGGAACGAACATATATAATGTTCTCTGGATTTTCAAGATCTAATTTGCGAGCAACTTGGACAACAAAAAGGATGAGAACCACATTCAAAATCTAAAAAAAAATATATATATAGATTAAATGATTTAACTCCTGTCAAAGAAATAATGAATACTGAATATTACCTGAGAGTTCATGTTTTGATTTTGCTATGATAAAAATTAAGAAAAATACACATTAAATTCTCGTACGTAAATTTATGTCCCATTATGCAACGTATCGCATTATGAGCGTCCTTATCCCAGATCTCCTAGTTCAGTAGTCAGGGTAATTATGACCCCGATGCTTAGATAAATTTAGTTAGGCTTCCAAATAATGATTGGTCAACATGCTCATAACGGATTTATCCGGCAGCTTATTATGATTTCCTGCCCAATAATAAAGTTACAACTAGCGGTTCGGGGTTTTGTACTTGAATCGAAAAGTCAATTCGATTCAGTACCCAAACCCGAATCGAATCGGGACCCGATTATTGTGCATCAAAAGTTTCTCAAATAGTGTGAAAAAAAAAAAAAAAAAGGCTGATTTGGTCCAATAGGATCAGTTATATTTATAAATATGTCTAAAACGTACGTAGAGAATTTACAAGAATTTCTCTATTAACAAACATTCTATTCGTTACAGCTGATTTGAAAATTAGCGGGACACTTGAAAATTTTGCTTGTTTCCCGAAACCTTTCGGACTCATTTTATGAATCATCTAACTTTTCGGAATTTCGATCCGAAAATAGTGATGTGATTTCCGAAGAATTAGATGATTCGTAAGACGAATCCGAAAGGTTTCGGGAAACAAGCAAATTTTTCAAGTGTCCCACTAGCGCTAATTTTCAATATCCGGAATCGGTCGGTTCTAAAAATCGTGAAACCGAACGGGCGGGTTCCGATTCAGGTTGGAGTTTCGGTTCGGTTTTGCGGGACAAGTGAAAAAGTTTTCTGTAATAGTAATAGTAAGACCGAATCGATAAGTTACCGAGTCGGAATCAATAAGTAACCGACTTCGGCCGAACTCAGAAACTTATCGATTCGGTCATCGGCAATTTTTTGAGTTGTCGAGAATAGCTCACTGTATCGGTATTTTGAATTTTTTTTACTAACAAATTCACAATCACAACATAAATGCCCAATTACCATTATCTAATACCCTACAAATTATTTAATTCGCATTACAGCTGTTTTCATAAATTCTGGGACACCCTAAAAAAATTTTCCGAAGTCTATTCGGCCGAAGTCGATAAGTTATTGATTTCGGGAATAATAAGATTCAGTAACAGATT